CACACTCGTCTCCGTGGCTCCCTTTGACTATTCTGTCCATGTACAACACAAACATGAGACGGGGCAGAACGCAGCTTTGCAAAGATCAGTGTCAAGCTGAAAGGGCTCGAGTTGGCGACGTTTACTCTGGTGCAACACTTGTCATCATCATATAGCGACTGAACCACTGACCGTCGATCCCATATGTTTATAAGCATGGCCATTGCTTGCTGCGCACGATCCGGTCATGGGTTCTTTAGGTCAACAGAACACGTGTAAGCCGCATGACTGAACTCTCAGTTTCTCAATTATCTTGTGTAAGGCAAAGATCTGACAAAAGAAACTTCAGTCTGACCTGACGCCACACTGCTTTTGTATCTTAGAGTCAATTATTTCGCGGCACCTTTCTAACATTTTTGCGCGAACTTTTCCAGGGAGGCTTAATAAGGCGTTCCTTATATTCAGAGGGCAGTCGCTGTGTTGCTCATTTCCGAAGAGGGATACTGCATCTCCCGTTCTCCAGTTCATTGCTGTCTTTCCTGTAGTTTGAGAAACGCCATTTAGCTGCAACATGGCTTGTTCGATTAAGCCTTTGCGCATTTAAGGGCGGATTTCATCGATTCTAGCAGCCCTGCTCCTGCCACTTTTCAAGCATTTTACTGCATTTGTGGCTTCATATATTGAAAGGCTAACTTCAGTTGCTTACTGCTCTTCAGCGAGTCTTCTTGCGGTTGCTCGGGAATGAGTAGTTCTTCAAAGTGGACTTCGGCACCTGACCTTCAGGACGCTTATACAACACTTCTTTACATCTGGGAGGCGGCGGGTAGTGTGCCGGTGTACCTTGTTTTGCGTCTGGAAATTCGTCTTCAGTACCTCGCCGAACTTTCCCATGAATCAGCTTTCGTTTTGGCCGTCGGTACTTTCATCATGCGAGCCTTGATTATATTTGTGTTTCGTATATAAAGTACAGGCTCTTGAAGCAGCACTGCTGGCGCGCGAGATACCGCTTTGACCGATAACATAATGTGGAACGCATCGATACATTGCAGATGTTGCCTGTTTAGGTCACCCATTTGATATCTAGAAGCAACTGGATGACGCCATAAAATTTGGTTTGGTGGAAATTATGTTTATTTGCAATAACAAAGAAAACGAGGAGATTAATAGTCAGCTCTAATGCGGGCCTCTCTGAAAGTATGAAGCAGAAAACATCATACTGGATTTTGCCGTAGGCAGATAACCAGTCCGTTTTGCCGTTTTGAGAAAAGGTTATGCGGCGTACCATTCTTTTGGATTAATTGTTGTTGATTCAGGAAAACGAGTGACTGCCGTGAATTTATAGTCTGAAATTCTGTGCTGCAGTGACTGAATCGATTATTTTAAAATGCAGTCTTGTTTCTTGACAGACGGGACATACGTAGATGCATAAGTCATAAGTCAGCATTAACGCTGTGCCATTTACCCTTAAAGCGCAAAGAACACAAGTAATGACGCTCGCAGTTCGGCTTTCTAGCCTACTGTCTGTTTCGCTTTTCATCAGTTACCTGTAAAAGATCGACAGATTCGATCGTGCTTATTCCGTTACATAGCCGCGGCCCGCAATGGCCTTACCTTTCTTGATGCTGAAGTGTTTTTCTGAAAAGTGTGTTATTTCGCACCCAACAAAAGAGAACACTTATACCGGCCGGACATCCGAAAAGTAGGAAGAGCAAATGGAGTTTAGTTTGGTGGTTCATTATGAATTAAATGGATAATGAAGATGCATATTTCAACAAACAGACTGGCTCAACATGATGTTCAGTAATACGGTAGTGACAACTGTGGTATCAGGTGATTGTACGTCACTGCATAGACTACCGATGGTAGAGAAACA